AACAAATGTAATTGGAGCCCCCCCCCCGCCCCCCCAAAAAATAAAAAATAAAATTCATTAACAAACCCTTTTCCATGCATGAAGCCTGGCAGGCCAATATTAGGTTTCATGCTTTAACATTGAGAAGTACCTTGCCGGTGAGGTCCATGTTGATAAGGACAAGGTCCTTTTCCACACAACCCTGGCCCCATGGTTGTGGGGGTCTGTGGGCAGGGCGCTTATTGGCATCTGTAAGCCCCTGTTTCTGGCATTCTCCTTATGAATGAGTAAGGGGTACTGCCATTGGGGACGAATGCAAAAATGGTTTTAAAAAGTAACGTACAGTGGGGAAAGGGGCCTTTTTTTATGATTTATTATTATTATTATTATACAGGATTTATTTAGCTAGAAAACAGTTTGTGCAGCGCTTTACAATATAAGGAAGACATTACAATCGCAATACAATTCAGGACAAGATGGTAAGGAGGGCCATGCCCAATCTATAAGAGAGGGGCAAGTGATACATGAGGAGGTAGCTGTGTGGGGATGAATTGTTTGAGTAAGTGACAGTTCAGGGGTTAGTTTGAGGTTGGATAGGCTTCCCTGAAAAGATGAGTCTTTAGGGATCACCTGAAGGCAGTTAGAGTAGGAGATAGATGGACAGGTTGGGTTAAGGAGTTCCAAAAGATGGGAGAGACTCTAGAAAAGTCCTGGAGACGAGCATGGGAGGAGTTGATGAGGGAGCTAGAGATTAGGGATGGGCTTGAAGTTCGTGATGACTTTACCCAATCATGGCTCACCTCTCAGATGCCGTACAACTGTAAACAGTTAGGCGGAGCTAGCTGTCACAGCTAGTTCAGCCCAATTGTTTACAAATTGCTGGTATTTGTCAAAATGCCATTCAGCGGCGGGATTTCGTGAGAGGACAGGATGGCGGTCATCTTTTTTTAAAATTATTTCTATTTATTTTGTATTGTTTTCTTTTTTATTTCATCAAGGTTGTGGACAATGCTGGACGTCACTATTGACCCTGGATTATGTCGCTGGATCCATTTTTTTTTTAAATAAAAGACTTGTCAAAAACTTGTCTTTTGTTTTTTTTCAAACAAAGGATTTTTTCAAAAGTCTGGTCTTTTAATTTACAATTTTATTTAACCCTTTAGTGAATGGGTAGGGGTACTTGTACCCCTTACTCATTCACAACGGGGGGCCATCTTTATTAAAGGTGTACCCTGATGTGAATAACCCCCTGCCCACACCCCCACAAGCAACACCTCAGGGCTTGTGGGGAAGAGGCCCCTGTCCCCATCGGCACGGGGACAAGGTGCTTTTCCAGGGGTGACCCTGGAAAAGCACCCTCCCAGTGCTGAGGGTATGTGGCCTGGTATTGCGGGGGGCGCTCGCTCGTCCCCCCTCTTCCCTGCCCTGCCAGGCCTGTGCTCGGATCAAGGGTCTGGTATGGAATTTTAGAGGGGACCCCACATTCCCCCCCCCCCATTTTGTGGGTGGGTTTCCTCCTTAAAATTACTACCAGACCTTAAGGGCCTGGTATGACTTTGAGGGGGAACAACACACCGTTTTTTTGTTTTATTTTTACATAGGGTCCCTCCTAACATTCCTACCAGACCTTAAGTGTCTGGTATGACTTTTAGGAGGAACTCCACGTTTTTTTTTAAAAATGGGGTCCCTCCTAACATTCCTACCATTCCTAAAAGGGCTGGTATTGTTTTGGAAGAGGAACCGCACGTTTTTTTTTTTTCTTTTCAAATGTAATTTGTTTCTTTACAAATGTCATTTTTGCTGCAGCAGGTTCTATACATTGTACAGATGTGCTACGTTACAGGCAGTTTAAGGGGACCCCTCAGGCATGATATTTAAAGGAATTGTTCATTTTTATTGTTTCACTTTAATTGATGTTAAAATCACTGCTCCTTTAAAAACAGTATTTAAAAAAAATAAACTCATTGATTCATGTCTCCCAGGGAAGTACCTGAATCCCCATACGCTTTTAATGGCCAATAAATTGCATATTAGCCTTCAAAATGGGGTCAATTGATTTTTTACGTTCTAGCCCCATAGACTTGCATTGAGTTCGAATTCCAACTTTTGCCATGTTCTAAAGTTTGAATTTGAACTGAACAGGGGGGTGTTTGGCCCATCAGTACTAGAGGGCAGGAGTTCTTGGGAAGAACGGAGGGGATGGTTAGGTGATACTTTACTTTGAATCACATGCTTGGGAAATGTCTTTAAGCTGTGGTGTTAAGAAGCAGTACAATCTTCATGAACAGCATCAGTCACACCACATTCTGGCATCAGAAATTGAACAGGTAAGCAAACTCTCCAGATATAGCCATCTCATTTGCTTAAGCCCACTCGGTAATTATGTCTGCAAAAGGTCAGATCCCGCTAGCTTCCGTTTGTAAACAAACCACCAGAATCATGTGTGGTGTTACCAACTATTACCAAATATGAAACCCCCCATCTTGGGGCATGTTTATAATCAATGTGTACTGTTCCTTTAAGAAAACATGTGGGCCCCCTAATAAGTTATAAAAGACCCTTATGTAGGTATGCAGCCTAGGTGACCAGGAAAGGGGTGGGCAGCAAGCATGCATGCCCTCCTTCCTGAACCGTGCCTGGCCACATGCCTTCAACATTGGGAGGGTATTTTACAAGGGGAGGCATAAAAATTCCCAATCTTGCAAGGCACCTTGTCCCCATGTTGATGGGTAGTTGCAATTATTTATGTTGCACAATACTAGTGCAACAGTTTTTCAAACCCAAACGTTCAGTAAAAAATTCATTTAAATTATTTCAGTGCACAAAAACACAATATAATACCTATTTTTTGTAAAACATAAAAGATAACATCACATTGAGTAAATAGATACCAAATATGTCAAGCCTCAAAATTGCATGTTCCAATTGAAACAGCAAAAAATGTTGGTACCCAAAATTGTCTATAGTTGACACATTTTACACAGGTCATTAATTTAGAGTTAACCATAAATAATGATGCGAAATTATTTAAAATATTTTTGTTTTTTTTACTCATCTCAACAGTGATAGCTGATTACTGGTTCTCTTTATGGAGACATTGAGGGTGTAATAGACTTCTGATGCCACCTTTGCAGCCCAAAGAAGCTCATCAAGTACAGGTTGTGCTTGATTAGCTTCATCCCCAGCCACAGAAGCAGGGGAGTGACAGCTCAGAACCTGTAAGTGCCAAAATCCTAGTCGCTTCTGGATTCTTTAAATTGAGAGAAGATCAGTGAACATATGTTTGCTGATCTTCTCCTGCAGCTGCCGACACCCACCATGGCCATTCCAGGCCCACAGGAGAGGCAGTGAAGCCCAGAAAGCATGGCTGATGGTGGCGACCTGCTGAAGTGCTGCTGGAAGTGATCAGGCAGCTGAAATTAATTCCAGAATGTAGTTGGGAGAATGAAAGTAAACTGACTCCCATCTGCTACAGCAGTAGTACTTACATTCATGGCAGTGAAAGGGTTAAAAGAGAACAATGGCTCAATCTTTTTTTTGCCATAGTTCTCTTTAGGGACAAGGGAGAACATATACTAATGTCCTTCTGTGACCCAAAACTCAGCATATAGCGGGCTATTGCCTGCCAGAGGCTAAAAGCACAGAGCTGTGCTGCATCTGGAATGGATCCCAACAATATAGTTGGGAACCATCCCGCTGCCTGATTGACAGCTGGCTCTGCCTCTCTAGAGACAGAGCTAGCTGTGCCCACCCCTCCCCGTCTCTCCTTTCAGTCAGTGCTGGAGGAAAGGGGAGGGGGGAATCCCTGCGGGGAGTGGTGACTGATAGTCACCGCTCTCTGCAAGGAGATGATCAGGAACTGATCGATCGTCAGTATGTGATCGCTCAATTCTTGATCAATACAGCTGACATGTGACAGCTTCAGTGTCACACGTCAGCTCCTATCATGGGAATGAGTGTATTTCACTCTCCTCATAATTCTCCTTTAAGGGGGGTATGACCACCTTGTATAAATACACAAATGGTGCATATAGTGAACTTAATACAGAGTTGTTCTCTTTAGGGTCATTGAAAAGCTGAACATTTTTATTTGGTTATACTTCTCAATAACCACAAAGCCTATAAATCCTGTTTGTGTAGA